TCTCGCCGTTGTGGGCCTCTACCTGAAACCGACACTCTTCTAGTTGCCCTTGCAATTCAACCACTTGAGCTTGAAGATCACTACATTGGGTCTCTACGCCCATGTTAACCTCAAGTCCCTATTTCCTACTCCTTAACGTCCCCTCGAGGACGCTACACTTCTCAATGGCTTGCACCAACTCATCGTCCCCCTTCTTTAGATCGCCCCTCAAGTCTTGCATGTCACTACCTTCGCAAAACCGACTGCGAACCGATACTTACTGCGATACTCAAATTATTTATCTTTCAGTTTTACAAATATCTCTTTAAACCTCTTCTCTCTCCGGGTGCTCTCAATCTCCAAAATCACCGCCTGCAAACATTAAAAAGAAAAAAGTCAGAACAAAGAGCCCCCTGAAAAACATGAAAAAAGGTCGAATCACAAACACTCACCCTAAGAGCGAGGCCAACAATGCTCCTCGACAAGGTACTAACATCTATTTTCTTAAAGGTCTTACCCTCAACTGCAGAACATAGAGGACCAAGGGCAGGGACTACCTCCTCGGTGTTCACTAATAAGTTACGATCCATAGGTATCGCAATAGTCCTTGTAGACCCCTCCAACCTTACATCGAGCTGAGTAAGCCCCTCTTCAATCATCCTCAGGTCATCCGCATCAACATCGAAACCTGATTCATCGCCCTCTTCAGCGATTGCTTTTGCCCCTTCCGTCTGCAGGCAAAGAGGTATCAGCGGTCGTCCGAGAGGTCGAAGCCTTCTCTCGCCGCGAAGGTTCAAGAACGTTGGCAGTCGCCCTCTCAGTCTCCATCACCTCAAAATGAAAAGATACGTCTACGTTGGCTTCCATCAACCTCGAAGCCTCGAGACTCAGTTCAACATCGTCTCGCATAAGAATCGTCATCGTCTCGCGCAACGAGAAGTCCTCTTCTGCCGCACCAGTGGCTATGGCAACTCCGGCACGCGCATCCCCAGATCTCCTCTTTCGAGGTTGGAGATCTCCGTCACTGGTAGATGTCTCACCGTCCTCGTCAATGAGAGAGTAGAGAGGAGGAGTAGAAATCACAACGGCCGAAGCGGAGGCGAAAGCGTCTACGGGTGGAATGGGAACAAAGACAAGATCAGTTGTAGTCGAAGCAAGGGCGGAGACTGAAAGTGTATTGGCCTTCCTCTTCCGAAATGAGGGTGCAGGAGATCTCGACCTCCTCGTAGACCCCCTGATCAAAACTAAAGAAAAATGGGAAAGGGAAAACACATTAAAGGTAACAGACATGGGCGAAAAAATCGCGACATCAACGGTAGGGAGAAAATTACTTGCCGAGGGAAGAGACGACCTAACTCTCTGGGAAAAGCTCGACCATTCGCGTATCCCTGCCGTATGAGGACGAATCTGTCTAACCCAATCGGCAATGTGGGTCACCATCTGAAGAGGCCGAGCAGTAGTTGCAGAAAGGATAAAGCCAATTAATCGACCCGCAGTAAGGAAAACAGTAGAAACGAAAAGGTGTGTAAACTAATATGAACACTTACGAGTAGGGTTCCAAACCTCAGGGAAGCCTAAGGCAGCGGACACTACTTCTTTGGCCCTGACAAAGAAATAGTCAAGCTAGAAATGACGACTAACTCTGTCGTCCATCCTCACCACCAAACATTTTCCCCTTGCGGTGGCAAAGATTCAGCAAATTCCCTCGATAGAAATGAGGGGCGAAGAGTTGAATAAGGTGACGTACTGTTATGTCGACATCGGCCAATTCGGAGAACTTCGTCAACTTCACGACCACCTTAAAAATATAAGGGGTGAGCTGCATCAGACATATATTGTAGTAGCGGCATAACTCTTCTATCAACGGTGGCAGAGGAAATGAATATCCAATTAAGAACAGATATGAGTAAAGGGCGTAGAAGCCGGGACGGTGAACCCGAACCTCGTCGTTGCCCGCAATGATCAAATCCACGTGACTAGGAAGGCCGAGTCTAGCCTTGAGTTCGGTTAATCGCTCAACCGTCATTGTGGATTTAAACCTCTCCGTCACCACTTCTAGTGCCTTTTGGAAGTTAGGTTTAACATCGAGACACCAGGTACGATTTCCTCTATAGTAGGTATATTTTCCTCATCAGCGGCAATTCCATCATCTTCCCCCTGGCCGGGGAAAATGATGTCTAGAGGAATAGAGTGGTCTTCCATATGGACATATGATGGTAGGTCATGCATTGTTGTGAGAAAAATAGGGAAACAAAGAAAACAACGGAGAAGTGCAAGGGTTCTGCAAAGAAGAAGCTCTGCTTATGAAACGAAAGGAGTTTGGAAAAGTTTCAAAATCAACAAACCACCCATATTTATAAGAATTGGGGGCACCAGAATCGAAACGGCATGCCATGAATAGCACGAAGATTGAAACAGCAGAACAAATCAATGGTCACACAAGAATCGGCGCAACGCATCGGGAAACAACATCATTATGACGCGTGACGTCATGACGTCACTTTTTCTCTTGGACCAAATAGTTTCAACGGACTTCCCGGGAAAATTCAAAGAATTCAAATGCGACACTCAAGAAGCCACATTGACTAACCGTCACGACCATGACCAGTATAGCCAGCTCGACAAAGTTTTACCATAAACGATACTATCCTCTCATCGACCTCGCCAGCACGAATAACCCTCGTCGACCGGAAGCCTCAAAGCAATAAAGTATGCGGTCGAAGAGTCAGCAAAGATCAAGGTCGAGGTCGAGCATATTTGGCAGAGTTATAACGGCTAGTTCTAAGATAAGACATACAAGAGAATATTCTAGTGGATATTCTCTGCAGATGTACTATTAGGTTTTTCTAAGAACATGTTCCCTATAAATAGAAAGAGACACAATAATAGGGGACATGAGATATTCATTTGTAAAAAAATGCATTGACTTTATAGAGAGAATTTGGTCCTATAGCAAGCTTACAAAAATAACCTTTTTACTAAGATTCTTGCCTAGCATTTTCTACCCGATTCAAGAATAACCTAAGTGTTCAAAGGCTCATCAATCATTCATTATTGTTAGAACGAATATCCACTGATCTCATCCCTTTTCGGGTGACTCACACGTTTTATTTACTTAAAAACAACATTTATTGCTATTTATTACTGTTTAATGCCATACTTCACCTTTTTGATTCATTGAATATTGTTATTATTGCTTATACTCACCGTCACCCGGACAAATATATTTGTTATTTGCTATGGTCCCGACAACTTTATTTTTAGGATATTATTTTTAATTAAGATTAACTCTCCGTCATTTAAATGTAATTGGTTGAACCAAGATCGATATTTTTGGTCAAACAAATATAAAATAAGCAATTTTCAAATATTGTCAAATTATAGTTTAGGAAGCACAAAGTAAACTATATCCTTAGTGTAAAGACATGGTCAATTGATAATGCAAATATTACTTTAAAGATTTTTGGGTGGTTACAACACCAAACTCTAGGAATAGATTAAAAAAAGTAAAAATTAAACCTTCAAATGTGAGTTCTTTTTAAATTATTTTTTTCACAACTGTCAATTAATCTAACAATCAAAATTATTACTACTGTTATAAAATAAAAATTGTAAAGTAAATAGATCGAAAATAAGTATAGAGAGATTGATATATTATTCAATTTCAAACTCATGTATATAATGAACTTAAAACTCCTCTATTTATAGAATAAATGAAGCAGTTGTGAGATTTTTCAGGAAGCGGTTGCGGGGCTTTTCAGGAAGCAGCTGCGAGGCTTTTCTTGAGCTGCTTGTAAGCTGTCTGCATGAGCTGCTTGCAACCCGTCTGTTTAATAAGAAATTGCTGCAAATCATTTCATTGAGTTGCTTGCAACCTAACTGCATCAGCTGCTTGTAGATAAATTTCATTAGAGTACCAAAGGAAAGATTATCTATAGAAGAGTAATAATGGACATCCACATTACAACTACTAAATAGTTGATGGAAATAGAAAGTGTCGTTCTTGAAAAAATTAAACATCAAAACTGGTGAAGATAAAATATACGGTAAATGGCCAAATATACCCCTATACTTTCGAAAAAGGTTTAAATGTACCATTCGTTATACTATGAGTCCAAATATACCTTTACCGCTATACTTTGGGTTCAAATATACCCCTCATTTAAACGGAGAAACACGTGTCATCGTCTTGTTGGTCAATTCTAAATATCTCCTAATTAATTAAAAAGATTCATACCCATACTTGAAATATTTGTAAAAATTGCTTTTAAAAAACTAAAAAATATTTTTTTTATAAAAACTGAAAAAAATAATCAACAAAATATTTTTATTTTTTTAAAACTAATGCACCGGTAGTCCACTGCTTTAGGAAAGTCATTTTTTCAGTTTTTATAAAAAAATCAATTTTTTTCCAGTTTTTACAATAAATAAATGCTTTAAAATAAACTGAAAAAATTGAAAAATATCTTTTTGTAAAAACTGGAAAAAAAAATTCAATATTTTTTTTTAAAAAACTAATGCACGTGTAGCCTAATGCTTTAGGAAAGTCTTTTTTCATTTTTTAAAATAATGTTTTTTTTCAGTTTTTACAAATAAAATTGCTTTAACAAAAACTGAAAAATATTTTTTTTTGTAAAAACTGAAAAAAAAGCTTTTGTTTTAAAAAATAATAAAAAAGACTTTCCTATAGTAGTGGACTACATGTGCATTAGTTTTAAAAAAATGAAAATATTTTGTTGAATTTTTTTTTCTAGTTTTTATAAGAAAATATTTTTCCGTTTTTCAGTTTTTTAAAGTAATTTTTATAAATATTTCGGGTATGTGTATGAGTTTTTTTAATTAATTAGGAGATATTTAGAATTGACTAACAAGACGATAACACGTGTCCCTCCGTTTAAATGAGGGGTATATTTGAACCCAAAGTATAACGATAGGAGTATATTTGGACTCATAGTATAACGAAGGATATATTTATACCTTTTTCGAAAGAATAGAGGTATATTAAGGACTACTTCGAACCTTGAATTGTCTTCCAACGGGTTCGAAGCGGGTCAATCTGTCGGATCTGTAAACCCGACCGACCCTCCTCAGGCCCATAATATTTTCATCGCAGCAAGCGAATCTCGGTGTCTGTGAGTTTCAGAATTCAGAGAACGAAGCAGAAGAGAATGGCGTCGGTGGTGAGGGGCATTTTCAAGTCAATCAGGGAAAAGGGCATCGGAAATTTTCTCAGGGAGGTCCGCGAAGAAGGATACCTGTTAGTTCTCTACCTTTTATTTATCTAACCTCATTTTGATGTTTGCCGTAAATGGCAAGTCTGATATGCATCTTTATCTATTTGATTCCCTAAACTTAATCTAAAATCGACTATTTGTGCTGATTATTTCCATTTAATTTCCTAGTGTAAGCTCAAACTTGAGAATTGGAGGGTAAAAGAATTATTGTTCTTTCTTGATTTGAAATCTCTATAGTTCTATTATTTGGTTTTGTAATTCTGTTGAAATTGATTTCTTTTGGATTTGCATTAACAAGAACAATAAGATAACATTGAAATAAAATCAGTAATCCTATTAAATTGTCTGAAGTCTAAACATTTTTTTTAATCCCGTTAAATGAGGTAACTTTCGTTAAACTGTATCCAAAAGATGCTAAAAGCCACCTCCAGGTCAATGTAACCCCGAAAATGACTCGGATTTTTGCAAACAAGGCAAGATGTACACCACATACAAATGTTCGCCTCCAGTGACCGGCAACACAAAAGCTGTTTTAACCCTAAATAGCTTCCAAAAGGGTGGAGATGGCGGTGGACCATCAGAATTTGACAACCAATACCACTCTGATGATACTCCAGTTGTTACCCTTTCAACCGGATGGTACAGTGGAGGAGATAGGTGCCTTAACTATATCACCGTAAGTGCTAATAATAAGAGTGTGAAGGCTAAAGTTCTAGATGAGTGTGACTCTACTGCGGGATGTGATGACGAACACGATTATCAGCCTCCATGCCCGAATGATGACCTGGAGGTGGCTTTTAGCTCCAGTACAATGTTTAAATGGTCTGAAAAAAACGATTATAGAATATGATTCTGGTAAAATGCTGTGGTGTTTTTCATTCGTCATTATTGTGGGATAATACTGTGTATGTTGTTGTTGTTGTTATTGTGCATAATGACATGTGATAAAGTTATTATAGTATATTTCCAGAAAACTTCTGATCTTTATGGGAGCTTTTCTTTTTGGTGAATACAACCAGTTTTTGACTGAGGTGCAGTTGTTGTGATTTTAACCAGCTTAAACTTATTTAGCTCTGCCCCTTAATTGACCGAAGTAAATTGGATATTATGAGCGATTGTAGACTTCCAGTATTTTTGGGCATTAACTTTTTATGTGTTCTTGGTACCGTTCATTTCATTTAAATGCTTTTCTATCATAATATCTGGAAATTTACTTACTTTTTGCTCCATCACCGTTGTTACCAGTTAAAAACATTTATGTTTCTTGTTTTTATGTGGTATTCATTACTCTCAAACTCTCAGCTAACTATATCTTCCATCTTTGCATGTACCAGGAACTGTCTCACTGATGGAAATCTTTTGTAAGTACCTTTTTAGCTCTCTTTCTAATGAAGTACTTTAAAAAATTNCTCGTATCTAAACTATTCAGTGGTCTACAGTGTTGTTTGCTGTGCTTGTTACCGTCTAGACTAGTGATTATTGGTTGAGCAAATGAAAAAGCTGTTCATTCCATTTATTTGTTGTTTGGTTGCCCAAATTCTGGTTGACTTGAGCTAAAAAGATGACAGCACGGGATATGGACCATGGATTTTTCCTTTAAGATTCGTGGTTGTTGTGGAGGGATGGGCCGACGTGACCTCTTTGTTTGGCCTATTTCTTTAGCTGCTTTAATAGGGTGGTTTAGCACTTTTAGATAGGGGAGTCATTAGTAACTAATAAAACCTTAAAGTTAGATTTGTCCAGGCTTTTATGTGTATAGATAGATTGGCACTCATATGCATGAGCGGTAGCTGTGTTTTCATTTCCCCTAGCAATGTGTTATATTGAGGTGAATAGGAACTCAACGGCCAAATACTTTTACATGCACAAAACTTCTTACCTTGACGGGCAAAGAGGCATTACTGGCTCTTTTCCCTGTCTAGTCTCATTAAGTTTTCGATCTTGGACCTAAAAGTCAGTATAGTCAGCGATTGAGATTGAGTATTGACTGTAGTAGAACTTAGGAAGAAAGTAAAATCAAGAAAGTGATAGCTCTACTACTTGAATACCTATAAGTTATTACCTATCTGTAGGGCAATTGCTAGATTACCATGTCAAGGCTTTTGCATAACCCTTAAAGTATGGTCAGCGATTGACTGTAGTAGAACTGAGGAAGAAAATGATATTTTTAAAATGTGAAGTTTACTAGAGTACCTTCAAGTTTTTACTTCGCTGAGCTGTAGAGTAATTACAACATTACGATGTCAAGGCTTTTGCTGATACTGTATAGACCAGGTGGCTTGCGCCTGATAGGCACAACAACATGAAGTCTTGATAGTGAATTAGACTTTTCAGCGGCGAAGTCTTGTTTTTACTTGGCTCTCCTACAATTGAAGATCATATGTCTCAAAGTGCGCAATGTATTATAAGAAACTTTTGTGATAAGTGAGTAAAATTTATTAATCTGGTTAGTACCAAGTAGGTACTGGATAGATACAAAAGTGTTTGAAGGAATCATGGACTTCACATGCTAAATGAGACCAGGAAATACAGTTTATATTCTGTTTACATCCTTTCTATGCTAAAGGTACAAATGCTGAAGACATTTAACTATACAAAAGGTAAGGATAAAAGCTCATCCTCAAAGCACCTATGGTTTCTCTCTATCCACACTGTCCAAGATATACACGATGGGGTATTTTTTTCATTTCTCCTTCAGCTCCTTCCTGATAATCTATCCATTCCAACTGGTCATTGTGTCCTTCAAGTATAGGAAATTATCTACCTTTAATTGGTTTTTCATCACTAGTTGAAAGTTTTCTGTAGTTCTGCCCTCAAGACTTTAAGCTAGTGGTAAGAGCGCAACAAGTGACGTGTGGATTAGGCGCATGTCACGAGTTCGAACAGACAAAAACCTGGTACTTAAGTGGAGAATGATAGATGGGCGGGCACATTATCAATCAAGATTCGAACTGTGTGCCAATGGGCCCTTGGGGATTTCTTGGTTATAAAAAAGATAATTCTGAAGTTCTATGGTGGCTGAACTAGATGGCCTCCTTAGTCCTTGTGGCTGAACTAGATGCTCTCCTTAGTCCTTAGTATGTAATAATTAGACAATTGGTCCATTTCTTGGATGGAATGGGGGTGGAGTTAGAGCTGTTAATTGGTTAAAAGTTATTAGACAAGACAAATTTAAGGGGAATGACTTCATTTTGGTTATTGTCTGAGTTTTTAGTACTACTACTTCTCGTTATTCTCTATTTTTAGTTGCTTATGTCATGATCATGTCAAGCAGGTCTACTTTTTGATTTCTCCCAGCTTCTTGTCTGGGGTTGACTTTCTTTGTTGAGGTTAATATTTTTAGGAAATCTGGATAACTAACTCTATTATGAAAGAAGTCCTACAAAGTCCTTTGGTGTTGTACGTGTAAATCTTGGAAAGTATTTTTTTTCTTGTTTTCATAACCAACAATAATGATACTCTCTTTCTCGACCTTAAATTTTCTCCGCAGATGCTAAGGTTTCAAGCCCTGAAGAAAATTTGCTTTGGTAGAAATGTGCTGTAACTTTAGATGTTCAACATAGAACAACAAAACTCATATTCTTGTAATTGACTGAAAGTTTGAATTGGCTAGTTTCCCTCTTTGGTTTGGATGTTTAGAGTTTTTTTTTCATCTTGTTGCTTTCATGCTTTCGAAGCGGTATATTACATGCCTGTGTAAGAGTTCATTTGAAATGATTTGTTGTGTTCTTTTGTTGTTTAAAAACTAACTTTCTGGAAAAAAAAATACATGTCTAAGACTCTGAGTAAGACAATATTTTCTCTGTGAGGTATTAGTGAGACAATATTGATAGACCTTGCCACCCCTCTTTCTCATTAAAGTGATTCCTTAAATTTGCATCTAAGATAGTATTTGTTTTTGTTTTCTTGTTTCTTCTTTCTTGTTGGTTCAGGCAAACCAAGATCCACAACATAGGTGGAACACTTGTTGGTGTGGATAAATTTGGTAACAAATACTATGAGAGGCTAGACAACGAGCAATATGGTTGGTACAGCTGCTTCCTGCTTTCCTATGTCTGAATCATTTTGCCTCTTACATCTCACTTGTTGTTATCTTGTTCTATGGAAGTGTCCGCAGAATGCATATTCAAGGTTACGGGTTCCCTTAAGTATCATTTAAAAGTTGAGGGTTGTGTCATTTGTGTTGTAATATCTTATGCTCCCCTTTTCCCTTAAGGCGATCAGAGGAAAGGCTTTATGTGGCCTCATATAAGAAAAGTTATATATTCCCCTTGTTCTAGGTAAAAAAGCAAAGACCTCTTGCACTTTATTCACTGAGTAGTTTTTGCCGGCTGCTTGCATTATCCACAAGCAAGAGTTGCTACTTTGTCCAGACAATACTTCATGGTAACAGAATTTAGTGCGGTTCAAGTAGTCTGCTTCGGCATGTGTATTCTAGTGATCTTTCTTGGTAGAGGATGTTAACTTTACTGGAGGCTTGTTTGTTTCACGGTGTGAAATAATAGTTTTCTACCTGGTTAAACATGCTCTTATAGGTGGTTTTCGGAAGCTTGAAAATACATTTTCATATTCTAGAGATATGTTAATCTTGTTTAAGTAACTAACTGCATAACCCTAAGAGTAAAAGTTTGGAGTCTCATCACCCTTAATCCCCATGTATGTCAGGGAATAGTTCCTCTACCCAAATTTGAGAGACCTTTGACCTCAGTGATTTGTTTATTTTGTATTTATGATTGCTTAAGTAAACATCTTTTTGTAACATGATTATACAGGAAGACACCGGTGGGTGGAGTATGCCCAGAAGGATCGTTATAACGCTTCACAAGTTCCAGCAGAGTGGCATGGCTGGCTCCATTACATCACTGATCACACCGGAGATGAAGTAAGTCCTTGCAACTTCTCTTTGATGCGTACCACACCATTTCAGAATTCTTATAGTACATGCCATGCAGCTGCTATTGCTGAAACCAAAGAGGTACGGACTTGAGCACAAGGAGAACTTCTCTGGTGAAGGTGATGCATACATATATCACTCCAAGGGACATGCTCTAAATCCTGGACAAAGAGATTGGACTAGGTACCAAACTTGGCAACCCGCTAAGAAGGAATAAGTTCCGATTTCTTCAAGAAAAGCAACTTCTACAGCAGCTGGAGAGTTATATGGATATTCTGCCATGCTTCGTTAATAAAAAGCCCTTGTACTGAACCTATGGTTATAAGCGCTTGTGTGCCATCAAATTTCAGGTCGATACACTTGCTATAAAATTTTCTTATCCTGGATATGGTGTTAGGTGTTGAATTGGATCCACAATGCTGTAATGCAGTCTTCATTCCTTCACTGGCTTAAAGTATCTGATGGTTATTTATTGAAACTAATCTATTCAGTGATGTTTGGTCCCATTGAAACTGAAAATGGTGGCACGAGGTGGAAAGAGCCAATGATGATGGTTGCTATACATGCAGTGAATGTTATGGTTCGATTTGTGCTGAGTAACTGCTGAGAGTTGTTTAATAACACATATTTTAGGCTTAATACATAGTTGATCCTCTCAGCCTGTAGACAAATTCCTTCAACACACCCCAAAACACGAGCAATTTTGTATACACCAACTGGTTCTCCCAATCGTGTGTATTTTACACAGAACTACAGAAGAAGAGCGTGAATAGTAAAAATATTGTAAAACTTTCTCTCGGCTGCTGCTCTCTCTCATCCCCCCTCTTACTCCCTTCATCATGTACATACTAAATTGAATATACAACAAAAAAAGAGAGTGCTGAATTCAGTCTAGGTTTCAGACTCTACATTTACTTTTCAATCTTGGTTTCAGACTTTAGATTTACTTACAATGATTTTCACCAATTAAATCCAAAGAAACATTTTGATTACCTTTTTCAAGTAGCCCATGGATAAGCACAAGTGTTTCTGACATACACACTACAAAGCAAATCTAAAATACGTAGAAAGGGGAAGATAACCGAGAGTGAATTCACATGGAACAGGGAGGTTGAAGTTTTGAGAAGCATACGAGACCTTGATTGTAATTTGCAATTGCGGCATTAAACCTATCAGTACCAGTAAAAGAATCACCGTTTTCTCTCTTTTGGACAAGCATGCCACTGGGTCTCGTTACGCTTTCATTCCCAAATATAGATAAAAAGAACAAAAAAAGTCCCTTAGTTACATTCACTTCATTTTGAGTAGTTCTGCCTTGATCGCTTCTTGTCTTGATTTAGCATTATAGCACAAAGTTGCAAAAGATGCCTTTGTTCAGTTCCCATATCGGTGAAGGAAAAAAGAGAAAAGGAAGCTACGAACTATAAAAAGCCAAACGAGAAACGGTTCAAAGCATACCTTTCTCGGCATTTTGGCTAAGATCAAGTGTAGTATGAATCATCGATTCACACGATATTAACTTAATTTTTTAAGGGAAGAGTCTGTTAAGGTAGCTTGCTATCTGGGCTTTCGAGCGTCGTCTATGTGTTGCACTACAGCATGGGCCTGGCGCACCCGCCAAATCAGTTTAAATTATTAGCAAATCAGGTCCAGTGGCCCAATGTGGATGTTGCATTATTAAACCTTTCCATAACTTAGCTTTACATTTTAATGTATCCGATAGGGGGCAATGTTTAATACTTGAGTATTATAGCGAACAATGATTAGAGTATTATAGCGAACAATGATTATCAAGAAGTGACAATTGAATTGTAGCTGTGCGAGGTAATTTTGTAACACTTATTTTGGGTGTCGGCTATGTGATTAATCATTTTTCATAATTGGCTCTTTATTTTCTACACACTAGCTAACAAGAAGTGTAATTTTGTAACAATAATTTTGGGTGATGTGCCATGATTAATTGTTGACTGTATGTTTACATTTCTTTACCGTACTAATATCTGCTATTTGTTAATTATTGACTGTATACATTTCTTTATCGAACTAATAGGTGTCTATTGTTATTGAATTAGAGAAGTAGTTTATCTGTTTTAATTAAATAATAATATAGGTTCAACTAGTGATTTGGTGTTTAGCTTATATAATCCAGTGACAGAAAGTCTATGTAGGCTACTCAATCTTTTTTAGTTCCTATAATAATTCACATAGAACTCAGTTTTTCATTTGGAGAAGTTCTAAAATGTTTTCACACAATTCCACATTTTACACGACTTTTATAAGAAATCTATATCTATATATATCTATATTATTATAAAAGTATGAATACAATGTTGGTTTACAAAAATAACCTTATAGTATTAAGCATAATAACTCATAATAAAAGGATATAACCGAAATTATAGATATTAGCCTTATAATCCTATTAGTTCTAGGACATAATACTACACGTTAGAAATCTTACATGATTACCTTTAGAAACTCTATTAGTATAATTACTTTGGGGCTGTCTAATTTATATCAAAATTGAACAAGTAAATATCTTTAGTCATGTAATCCTATTACTTCTTAAAAATTCCTATTACTAATTTATTTTGAAAATGTATTATAATGTCCTATTACAAATTTAATTTCAAAATGTATTATATTGTCCAAATCCATTTAGAAAAATGAGAGCATATATTATTATAAAAGCATAAATACAATATTTATATATCAAAATAGCACAAAAATAATAAACAGAAGAACTCATGGAAAGGACATAACTGCAATAACTTATTTTTTGGACTACAATACCTTCTATGCTAATTTTTAATATTAAAGATTTTAAAATTAATAAAATTATCTATTAAATTCTTATTAAAAATATGTAGGAAGGTTTAATAAAATCAATTTCATTAAATCCTCCTTATTGGCATTACATTACCACTCCATAATGTCTAATACATAATGTCGAATACGAAGAAAAAATAAAAGTAATATTAAATATACTACATAAAGAGTTGAAATTGAGAAAAAAATACCCCCACGATAATATATTTTTATATTATATTTGAACTATTTTTCTACTCAAATAATTTTTTTAATCATTTTTTCGTATAATATTAAAAAATACCTAATTATTAAACAACAACCAAGAAAATATTTAAGAATATAAATGTGTGAGAAAGAGAAAAAAAATGGTTGGTAGAGTCAATACCTCTAATGATTCTACAAACATAAAGATCTAAAAGTGAAATGTTATATCAATCTTTTACTCTTTGAAAATAAAATTTATGGTAGATAAAATTATAATTAAGATTAAATATTTAAAATAAGAGATGAACCAATATTAAGATCTGAATCAACATAGAATAAATTATTTTTATGTTAAAACCAAATAATTAATATTTTAATTAATTATTTAGCAAGAGAATCCAATTCAATTATTTTTTAAATTCATCATATGAGTAAAATTCTTATTCAAGTTAAAAAAAAATCTTAGGATATATAAATTTATTCTATAAAAAGAGCATTAGAACACAATAAAAAGGTTAGTATATTATTAATAATCAAAATGCTATACAAGTGTCTCGGTAAGCACAATCAAAGTTAAATCCTAAACAAGAACAAACTTTCAAAACTATATTATAAAGAGTCGACTCTGGTATAATGATATTATTCTTTGTAGATGCCTCCGGCGGAATCGAAATAATATTTCTATGTAATGCATTACTTGCAAATATCATATCAAGAGGCATGACACTGTTAACAATAATAGAAAGTGGTGTACCAACAACGATTTTATTGTGAGACCACCTACTTTAGATTTGACATACCTCTTCAAACAACTTAAATAACCATCACAAATATATCAAAGCAGAGCAATGGTGCTAAATTTATAAGGAAAGCAAACTTGATAACATGGAATGAAACACTTATGGCTAAATGTCAAACGATCGAAATATTTGCTCGAAGTTCTAGAGATATATTAGATATTAATGAACTGTTTGGTGAAAAATTAATGGTGGAGGTGACTGTCAAGTACTATTAGTAGTTCCAAAATCGACAAAAGCAGAGATTGTAAAAGCTAGCTTGCCAAAGTGATACTTCTGGCCTCAAACGAAAAAGATTCAACTGACAAAAAATATAAAGTAAGAACAGATCCAGTATTCAGTGTCTTCTTGCTTCGTTTGGGAAACGAAGAAGGGCATCCAATAAAAGATGATTTGGTTCTTCCCGAACACTTGGTTATCAATCCCAATGATAATAGTAGTGCATTTAATAAGAAAAATATTTCTATCATTACATTAAAATGTAATTTGTGCAAATCGCATAATAGAATCAAAAAGATATCTTAGCCAACATAAATGATAATGTTGATTGCAAAATTTTATAGTAAAAATAAAATATTTTTCAGTTTTTGACTCAGCAGAAAATAATATCAATAATTACTACCAAGAAGAATACTTAAATACTTTAATACCAAATGGACTTCTATCATACATGTTTATTGTCAAGTTTCTTATTTCTTACATATGTTAGTGTCAATGTATATATAATAGACTAAGTTAAAATTGATCTTCCATTGTATATAGGTTAATTTTGAAGAAAAATATGCTCGTCATGCTACTGCAAAGCTCAGATACGCCGAATAGCTTATGTAATTGCATACAAATGGTATATAGAAGTTTTGACAATAACGTCATGCATGCAAAAATTATCATATTGGTTAAAGTGCTTCTAAGTATATTCTTATCCCTGAATTCAACTTTCCTCTTCCGAAACTAAGAAATATCCTTTTAAATTTGTGTGAAAGTAATGTTTAGTATGTTTATGTTTTGCAAATATAATAAATAAATCACAAGGACAAATATCCTAAATATTGGACTATATTTACCGCAATATATTTTCTTACATGAACAATTATATGTTGCACTTTCAAGAGGGATATCAATATCGACAATAAGAGTTCTGATTAAGGCAGAGCAACCAACGCATTAAGAAAAAACATACACAAAAAAATTGTCCGTAAAAAAATTGTTCGTTAAGATATCATCATATTATTACTTTTAAACTATAATATATAATTATCTAATTAACATGACAAAATTGATCATTTGTGTAAGTTTTGATGATGTACTTTTATTTTAAATTCATGTATTATGTTAATGTAATAATATTTTTCGGCATGTAGATGATTGTTGTATTAATATACATAAAATTTCTCTCATTAATTAAATTTTATTGTTCCTTCATATAAATAAATATTTAAATCATCACATACTATTATTAATGTGCAACGCACGTTCATAGATACTAGTTTAACAAAGAACGTAAAAAAAAGAGAGGAAGAATTAAATAAAGAACGAAAGTATTTCTTTATGTGTTATTTATTCTACGGAAAAGGTCCAAATACCCCCCATGAACTATACGATAAGGTCTACAAATAACCCTCATTAGAAGTTTGGCCCATTACCAACCTTGCCTTTATACTCTTGGCTCGGATACCCCTTAATTTTAAACGGCTGCCACAGTGGATAGGTTATCCACTCATAATTTGACATGTGGAATTTTAATTTACACCCAAATATTTTAATTCACATCCAACCTGATTTAATTAGCCTACTTGTTATCCGACCCGTATAACTTAACCCCTTTTATCTCGTATAGTCCAAAATGTTAAAAAATATTTACCGACTAAACCACATTGTTTTCTCTCATCTAGTCCGCCCAAATTCCGCTAGGGTTTCTGCATATGCGAAGGAATGCCAATCGAAGGAGGTTTCTGCTGAAATTTATAACATCTTTTTGACTTTTCTAGTCAAGATAAGTTACTTTGCTTCTTTTTTTTTTGTTACATTTTACTGTTGGGTTAGGGTTTTAAGATTAAAATCGTTTTAATATGCCTTTGGTGGAGTTAATGTTTGTCTGTTTATAAGTATTATATATGTTTGTTTATTGCTGGATTTTGTTTGTTCTCATGATTTTATTGGGGATTTGGTGGGTCTTTGGTTGTCCCGAAATCAGATTTGTCTTTTAGGTTTTTTTTATTCCTTGCTTTATCTTTATACGTATCTTTTCTGATGTGGTCCCATCTCTGTTTTTATTTCTATTTTTTTCCTAGCTTACGAAGGATGATTTCAAAGGTTGATATTGTGTTCAATTATGGGGGTAAATGGGTATTTTCACCTGACCTAGTATACTGTGAGGAACTCGTGCACTTATGGACATCATTTGATCCTTATTTATTGAGTTATAAGGATAAATGTGATGAGTTTACCTCTAGATCAGGGTTTGTCAAAGCTAAACAATTGTTAGTGGTTGGGCCTTCGGGTAAGTACTATTTGGTAGAAGGTGATGGGAGTATCATGGCTCTTCTTTGCTTATTATGTAACAAATTCAAGGTCTTAAATTTCTTTGTTGTTGATGAGAGTAAGTCGACTATTTTTAATCCACATATCACAGACCAAACAGAAACATATCATGTAGATGTTGAGGTTGGTACAAACTGTGAACATAGTCTTGGTTCTGGTAGTGTACATGAACCTTCAGATGGTGAGGAATATAATTCTGAAGAAATGGAGGGTATTAGCAATGAAGTGAGGAGGGTTATAGAAGATAAGTTGGAAAACTATAAGGAGTTGAAGCTAGGTATGTCATTTAAGGACATGAAAAAAGGCAGGCAAGCTGTGAATTTATATGCTTTAGCTAACAAAAAGGCTTTGGAGTTGATTAAATGTGAAAAAAAGAGCCAGATATGGTTGTCAAGAAGGGTGCCCCTTTAGGTGTCTAATTTTTGGAGATGGGAGAACTGGTGGGTTCAAGATTAAAACTTGGAAGGATGAGCACACATGTGAGGATGCCTTTAAGAATTCTAGAGCTGATTATGCCACATTAGCTCAGTATTTTAAGAGTAAGGTCCAAAATAACCTTAAATACATGATTAAAGATATGAGAGGTGAGCTTGAACATTGTTTGAAGTTGAATGTGACTAGATCCAAAATGAAAAGGGCTAAGAATATGGTTCTTCAGAAACTGGAAGGTAGTTTATAGATGACTACAACAAACTTGAGGCATATTGCCAAGAAATTAGGATGTCTAATCCGGGAAGTGATGTAGTTATAAATATTTCCAAAGATGCACTAGCAGAAGGTAACAATTTTTTTTTGAGAATGTATTTATGCTTTAATGCTTTGAAGCAAGGCTGGAAAAAATGGTTTGAGACTATTAATTGGAGTAGATGGTACATTCTTAAAGGGTATAACCAAGAGTCAGTTGTTGGTGGCATTAGGACAAGATTCCATGAATCATTTCTACCCACTAGCATGGGTTGTGGTGGACAAGGAAACAAGCAGGACTTGGAGTTGGTTCATGGTGCTGTTGAAGTTGCCTTTGGAGCTTAAAAATGGTGCAGGAATCACATTCATATCAGATATGCAAAAGGTAAATAGTTCTAATTTTCCTTCATTATGCATTTTAAAGTATATGATGGTTTGCACTAATAGTTTAATATTTCTTTCATTCTTTATTTTTGATTCACTTCACAGGGCTTGTTGGATGCTGTTAGCATAGTACTTCTTGAGGCTAATCACATGTACTATGTGAGACATATTGAGACTAACTGGTGCAAAAAAATGGAGGAGTGGTGAAATGAGAAAGTTGTTATGGTGGTGTGCATGGAGTTCATATGATGAGGAGTTTAAAGACCAATTGAAAAAATTAGGGAATCTGTTTGAAGATGCTGCAAAGGATATCTTAAAGTATCCCCCAAGGGCATGGTGCAGTGCATATCTTGACACTCAATGTAAGAATATGATGGTTGATAATAACTTTACTGAGTCATTTAATGCATGGATTCTTGAGGCAAGAGGAAAACCAATTATCAAAATGTTGGAGGATATAAGAGTGAAAGTGATGGTGTTGTTAGGAGACAATGAGGCTAAAGTGAGAAGTTGGAATGCAGAATATAGTCCAACTTGCTTGAAACTGTATTGTGATTGGAGGGGCATAGCACATGACTGTAAGGTCATATTTAATGGAGATTGGGGATAGGAAGTGTCTGGAGGAATTTATAGACACTGTCAATCTGCAACAAAGAAGATGCACATGCAGGTTATGGGATTTATCTGGCATTCCTTGCCCTCATGCAATAAAAGCAATGATGTATAAGAGGGTAGAGTCTGTAGGTGAAATCTATTAGTGGTATAGTAAAGAGGCATACTTGCTAATATATAAGGAAAAGCTTTAGCCTGTTAGGGGTCGACAGTTCTGGAAGGTTGAACCTTCACATGCCATGTTACCTCCTGATATTGTGAAGCAAGTTGGCAGACCCAAAGTGAAAAGAAATAGGGAACCAGATGAGGTAAGAAAAAAGATAGGGCAGTGGAGCCAATCAAGGAAGGGGACACATATGACATGTAGTAACTGTGGTGAGCCAAACCACAATGCAAGGGGTTGTTTCAAGGTAATACTTTTCTTATTCAGTAATAGTTGTATTGTTAATTGATGCCGGAAAAAGTGTTACTATTTAGCAGCAGTGGTTGCATTGATACTGTTAATTAACTTTAACTTACATTTTTTGAATAGCCCAACTCTTTTGGAAATGTTACAAGTTGCAGTCAAACTCAAGAATCTGATCAACCAAACCACAATGAAAGGAGTTGTTACAAGGTAGTACATTTCTTAATCTTTGTTTAATTGAATAACAGTAATAGTTACATTATGTATTGACGTTATTTTTTTGAAAATTCAATAGCTTAAGTCTACTGGAAAGAGTTCGCAATCAAGTAAAAGAAAGGGTGCAAGCTGCAGTCAAACTCAAGAGTCTTATGCAATGGAGAGTGACCAAGAGTCACAAACTGATTTTGGACCATTTGCTGCCACCCAAGAGGTTGAACCATATGGTCCGGAAGTTGACAATGAAGAAGACCCTCAACTTAGGCCAATGGTTGTTTCAGAAACACAGTCAAGGATTGAGAGGGGCAACCTAAGAGGACCTACAACTGGGGCAAGAAAAATTAAGTTTACTGGAGGAGATCACATTGGGGCTTCGACACCTACCAATCTTCCTTATTCTCCAACTAAGCTGACATGGAAGGGAAAAACTGCAATCTCATCAAGCCAAGTCCAACTTGAGGCAAGAAAGAGAAATACCAAGATGATGGCAAAAAAGGGCAAACGAAAAATTGCATCTAATGATGAAGATTTTCTTTAAAGTCAATTGCTATGGTTTTTGTTATGATTGGTTATTAAAACAATTATATTTAGTTAGTAAACAAACATTAATGGTTGGTTGGTAGTTAACCTTTTTGGGGGTTGGTTAAGTATCTGATGGTTAAGTGTGGTAAAACTATTATGTGCCTTATTCAAATGGTATTGATGAAACCTTTTTTGGCTATGTACAAAGCTGTGGAGCACTCAAGTTTATTTTCTGCAAATTTGTCTACTTCTGTTTGACTTCAATTCCTTTTTTCTAGTTTTAAGAAAGAAATGTCGAAGAAATAAAGTTGTCTCTATTGTCTTTTGTTACTACTTTTAATAGAAATTTGGAAGTTGAATTTTTGCAAACTTTGACCTCTTAATAGAACATGCAGATTGGTGAATGCATAGATGATCCATGTCTCGTCCTGTTATGTTACTCTTCAGTCAGCAACTGTAGCTAGAGTTAACAACATACAAGGACAGGATGTGCCACAACAACAATAAAGCCTTTGTTTCTTTATATACTGTTACATACTAATTAAGTGGAGCACTTCTTTACTTTGGTCTCTCGTGTATTTATATAGTAGATTTAGATGAAATTAACTTACTTAAGAACAATAAATTAAATTCATAAGCAGAAGCAAGGACTTTAGGCTTAGAAACCAGAAGTCTTATAAGTAAACCTAATGATGAGTTTGAAAACTGAGGAAAAATAGTGATTGAAAGCATATGTGCAACGACGCCAATACTGTCATGGCTAAATATACGATCACTGGAAATACAAAAGATGATCCAAACATACATTGGAGTGTTTCTTCATTCACTCATATCTGCAAATGCAAATAATCTTCTAAAACATTGCAACTAGTAACATACAAATACTTAAAAACATAAATTAAACCTTAACCATGTAAATTATACATAAACCTTGTTTGAACATAGGTTACATAATCACTTAAATATGTCAATTACACCTAAACTTTGGTTGATCTTAAGGTAGCAGAATGTCTATTTCATCATCCAAGCGCACATGAACCCAACGAAGCAACACCATACCATACCAATCACATTCCATTTTTTCAGACAACTTTCCTTCACAAACACTAAACCTCCATCCGTTTACTCCTTAGAAACATCATTTTCCCCTTTAACATCATCAAATTCCTTGAAATCTTTAATTTTTGCAACATCCCCTGCTAAGACACTTTCAATCTCGACAACCTTCATCAGAAGATTCCTTTCACATCTAGGAGCTTCATTTTCATTCTTTAAGTTGCTGATCAATGCTATAACTCTAAGAGGAAGTTCATCATCTACCCATTCCCAAAACTTACATTTCTGTCCCTGCGCAGTAATTAGAATAAAATTATTGAGAATTGTAGATCATAAACCTAAGCAAAAATACACAAACAAGTCTTATAAAATTTACCTTAGGCATTGAACACTTGTTAATTCGTCTGCTTGCATTATTTGGAGTTCAAGCAGTGAATTGGCTAGCAGCAACTCCACAACAACTTTTCCTCCTCGAACCATATGATGAATTCGAAGATCCCTGGCTCATATTTTGGGAATTGAATGGTGAAAAATGGTTGGGACACTAACCCTAACTTGGTCTTCCAGAATTGTACCGGAATTTGCAGCAACTCTATGAGTTCCTCGTTGAGATTGAGAAGAAGAGCTATCCCTAATTGATAAGTGAAGTAATTCAGGTGTTTTTAAGAAATGGGTTAAGTTATACGGGTCGGGTAACGGGTAGGCTAGTTAAATCGGGTTGGGTATGAATTAAAATGTTTGGGTGTAAATTAAAATTCTACATGTCAAATTATGGGTGGATAACTTATCCACTGTGGCAACAGTTTAAAATTAAGGGTGTATCTGAGCCAAGAGGGTAGTAAAAATAGCACGGGCTAGCCAGTTTCCGGACTGGTAATTCAAAAATAGTTAGCGTTTGCAAAGTCATTGAAAAATAACCACTATTTTGCTGCAACACAGACCGATTCAGCATAATATACTGGAGATTGGTGCACATGTGTATGAACTTCTAGCATATTATGCTGGAACTCCAACACGCGAAAAGTTTCAGCATAATATATTGGAGATTGGAGCACTAGTGTATGAAATTCCAGCATATTATGTTGGACCGGTATATTATACCAGAACTCCAGTATATTATGCTGGAGTTCCAGTATATTATACCGGAACTCCAATATATTATGCTGGAGTTCCAGTATATTATACTGGAACTCTAGTATAATATGTTGGAGTTTATACTGGAACTTCAGTATATTATGCTGGAATATTTTTCGAATTTTGAACAGTGTTTTCGTTCAGATTTATCTTTATATGAAAAGTGGCTAAATTTCGATTACTTTTGAAATTGTGGCTATTTTTTTATTACCACTTGTAAATCTAACTATTTTTGAATTTCTCCCAAGAGTGTAACAGCAAGGTTGGTAATGGGCCAAACTTATAAGGAGGGTTATTTGTAGGGCGATGTGCACAGATAGCCAGTAATAACACATGTATTTACTTTTAAGCCACTGTTTTAAATATATTTAGTCTTTAGCTACTGCTTTAATAAACTTTTACCCGCCCGGACGAAAATACCCTTCTGCTATATAGGATTTCGCTGATACATACGCTCCTTATTCACGATCAGCAGCAGCTCAAACTTACGTGTAGAGAATTGTTGTGATCGTCCAAAATTGTAGAAGCTTCTCTTCCGATTTTAAACTTTTTGTCTAAGTTCAGAATTCAACTTTCTCATCCAAAATTCACCATAAAATTACAGCAAGTTCTAAAGTTTCAGATATCTCTATATGCTTTTGTGTGTTTGTGTGGATTTTTATTTCGTTACTGACGAATAAGATGCTAGGAATTTGATTTTTTTCTTTTCTGTATTAATATAGTTAAGGACATCGCGTCCTTAACTCTGTGATTGTTCTGTAAATATTGAGGACATAATGTTAAGGATTTGGTGTCCTTAACATGATTGTTGTTCTAAAAAATATTAAGGATAAAGTGTCCTGTGTTTTTGCAACTTGTATTAATAAAGTTAAGGACACGATGTCCTTAACTTCATGACTGTTGTTCTAAATATTAAGGACATAGTATCCTGTATTTGCAAATTGTATTAATAAAGTTAAGGACACAATGTCCTTAACTTTTTCACTGCACACATCAAAGTTAAGGACATCANAGGACATGATGTCCTTAACTTCATGACTGTTGTTCTCAATATTAAGGACACTATGTCTTTAATATTTTCACTGCACACATCAAAGTGAAGGACACCGTGTACTTAATATTTTCACTGCACACATCAAAGTTAAGGATAACTTGTCCTTAACATTTAAACTGCACACATCAAAGTTAAGGACAACTTGTCCTTAAAATTTTCACTGCACACATCAAAGTTAAGGACAACTTGTCCTTAACTTTTACAATGCACACATCAAAGTTAAGGACAACTTGTTCTTAACTTTTACAATACACACATCCAAGTTAAGGACATCATGTCCTTAACATTTTGACTACACACATCAAAGTTAAGGACATAGTGTCCTATTTTTGCAACTTGTACTGATAAAGTTTAGGACATGATATCCTTAATTTCATGACTGTTGTTCTAAATATTAAGGACATAGTGTCCTGTTTTTGCAACCTATACTAATAAAGTTTAGAACATGATGTCCTTAACTTCATGACTACTGTGTAAATATTAAGGATATAGTGTCCTGTATTTACAACTTGTATTGATAAAGTTTAGGACATGATATCCTTAATTTCATGACTGTTGTTCTAAATATTAAGGACATAGTGTCCTGTGTTTTGCAATTTGTATTGATAAAGTTTAGGACATCTTGTCCTTAACTTTACAATTGTTGTATAAATATGTCCTGAATTTTCCATTTTCTTGACTTGCAGGATGGATACAATATATATTATAGTTGCTTTTAATGGTAGATGGACTGCAGACTATAAGTATCTTGATCATCAAACAAAGCTTGTTCTAGTACCTGAGGCAATTCAATTTGAAGATTTCATTAACCGGGTCTTTGAAGTTATTGAATTGGATAGAGACAAGTTTGAAGCAATGATATGGTTTGATATCAATCTGGGAACAAGCAAGGGAATACTTGTATCCAAAGATTTAGATCTTCACACATGTATAGAGTTACTAAAAAGTCATTCACTATTCAAGGGCTGTCGTTTCATTATTGATATTTCAGAAAGAGTTTTTGATTCTACAAGCACCTTTGAACATGTCAATACAGAAACTCAACAAGACAATCAAGACAAATGCCAACAGATAATGAAAATAGATGTGGTTGAAGCTCAACCAATAACTGAAGAGGTGCTTCAAACATTTGATTCTATTCAAGTAGATGGACACAACATTATAGAGATTGACAACGAACAAGCTTTGGGTATTCAAGTCTTAGAGAGTGCACCGGTA